GACCTACGAGTATAGTGAAGAGACTCGCCTTACAAATGATGATCAACTGTAACTGCTCCTACTGCTGTGGATACAGATTCTACAAACCACCTATAAAACCATATAAAGTACACTCTTAGCTTCCCTTCCAAAACTAGGTGTTTCACCAAAAGTCAATGAAAGTCAAAAGTCAAAGTCAATGATCAAAGTTGAATCGCCACGTTGTGGTCTTCCTTGTCCACGTTGTTGCTACTAAACGATAAAGCATACGTGTTTTCCCTATTGGCCCCGCCAGTCAGCCTAGACTAGATCCAAAATGTCTTAATGAGTTAAGCCAAAACCTCTAATCCCAGAGGTTTTAAAACCCATATTTGATTATTATTGTTGTCTAAAGAGATAAATTTTCCAACTCTATCCCTTGAGATCCACCAAAAGGTTTAGATCTCAAGTCTTAGATCCATAAAGCATAACCATGACATGGGATTGATTAAGATGCACTTAATCCCTTAAGTCTTGAGCCTATTTTCTCCAGAAGAGCTAATAACACTAAAACCATCCTAAAGATTGATGCTTTTTAGATGTTCATGTCAAATGCAAGTCTTGGACTCAACTTAGGTCAAAATGGGATTTATGACCAAAATATTATGCATGGCACAAACAAGCCACCAAACTTCAGATCCAAACCATAAATTAATTCAAATGATCCAAAGATTCATAAAGTTGCAACCTTTATGAAGTCTCACCATCCCATACAATAAGATCAAGAAGAAAATGGGACAAAATGTTAGATCTAGCACTATATGATAAAAAAAGGTGGAACCTTGAACACTTACAATGGTCCCGAATAGATCCAAGAAGGGAGATAGGGACTCTCTTGCTGATCCTTGGCTTACTCCTTCTTGCTTCTTCCTTCAAGACCTCTTAAAAGCACTCAAGAAAGCTTCAACAATGGAGGAAAAGGAGTTACAGTTTCTTTTGAGTTTAAGAGGGTGGTGGAGGCTGAGGGTGAGTAAAACTTAGCACCCTCATTCCTTTAAATAGGTGTAAAATCTGAAAAATTAGGGTTTAAGAAACTAGCGGTGATCACACCGTGACCTTCCTTCCCACGTTTTGGTGAGTAGAAAAGACCACCTCTAGAAAATGCATCACTACGTCGTGGCCATCCCTCCCATGCTATTACGACTCACCAAACTTCAAATCTTAAATTAAAATAAAAAATACCTCAAACCTAGATGTTACAAAGCAGATAAAGTTTCCAACTTTATCCCTTTAGACTCTCCAAGAGGCAAGGGTTTCACTTCTAGGTCCAAAAAAGGGAAAACACAACTTGGATTAATTCATTAAGCACGTAATCTTGAAGACTTCTAGTTCAACATTTCCAGAAATGCGTCTAGCATCATAAAACAACATAAAAACCCTTATTTTGCAGACATGCATGTCTAACACATGTCTTGGGCTTTTATTAGGTTAAAATGAGGGTTTTTGACCAAAAGTCCATGCATAATACCAAAACTCACTACAAATCTAGATCAAAAGCACCAAACACTCTAAATGGCCTGGAGATTCATAAATTTGCAAACTTTGTGAGATCTGACCACTCCAACAATCAAGAACATGAAGATTTTAGGACAAAACTCAAGATCTAGCAACCTATCAGATCTCAAAGTGGCTAATGGAGGCTGAGGGTGAGCAAACCCTAGTTTCCTCTTTCCAATAAATATGGAGAAAAACCCAAAAATAGGGTTTTATCATTTGACAATTGCCACGCCGTGACGTATAAAAATGAACCCGTGATGCTTCTTGATTTGCCACATCATGGTGCCTCCCCCACATCGTGGCAAACCTTTAAATGCCAAAAATTTGAATTACCTCGGGATCCAGGTGTTACATATGAATAAATGATAATTTTTTTTCCAGAAAATTATAAAAATAGAAAAAACGTCATTTTGAGGCCCTAAAAACTCTCGAATGGCAGAAAAACATTGTACGTCATGGGGAAATAGTGAGTCTTGTAAATCGCACCATTTTACATCAACCATGTGAATTTCGTGCAATTCCGAGACTAAACTTAATTACGGATTTTTTTGATGGTGTCACTAAATTTCCATTCCTACTAGTGATGATATCATAATGACATGCTATTTTATTCAGATATGAATAAGTTTAGAAATTATTACGATGATGATGTTACTAACTTCAGTCCTATTAGTAAAAACATCATTATAATATGTTATTTTTATTTATGAATAAACTATACATGTAGAATTATTTATTTGTGAATACATATTATATATATAAATATATATAATACACTATAAGAATTGGGTTGAGAATAGTGTTTTTTTTTTATTTTTTTTTTAAATATTGTAACTATATTATTTTATATGTAATTTCAGCATTATACTAAGACAAAGAACATTGTATTGGCTAATGAATACCATTCATACTTAAATTTAACATGATTAAAGTGATAAATATATTAAATTGTTTTCGTTAATGATATATTCTCATTTACACCAACCAATTCAACCACTGGAATATGAACCAACCATTTGTTAAAATATTATTCATTATTTGAGTTATAACAATTCATTGACAAACATGTGAATACACAAAAAAAATGTTGATAAAAAATATTGTTAGTTCATAATAATAGCGATTTATCAGATGCTAATTATTACTTGATATATTTACACATGAATGTATAATCGTATGTGAATATTATGACATATGTTGTTTATATTGTATATTCACATGTGAATATTATTACATGGTATATTAACATATGAATATTATATACTGATTTTAATTTTTTTATTATTGTTGATCCATATATATATATATATATATATATATATATATATATATATATATATATATATATATATATATATATATATATATATATATATATATGAATTAACAATTGAGAAATCTTCAGAATAATCCCAATATTTACGGAAAAGTTACACTTTAGTCCCAATATATTTTGTTTGAATGAAAAAGTATTGAAAACTTACAAAAAATTGCAGTTTGACCATTTTTGACCGGTTGAAACCAGTAACAAGTTAATTTGGGAATATTTCGTAAATTAACCCAAAATATTAGGACTTTTTTGTAAACAAAAAATATTAGGACTTTTTCTGTAAACAAAAATATTATGACTTTTCTACAAACAAAACCCTTATTATTATTATTATTATTATTATTATTATTATTATTATTATTAATTATTATTATTATTATTATTAAAAAAATAAATAAAAATACTATTTTTTGAACTTATTATTATTAATATTGTTACTAATACATATAAATACATTTAAATGAAAAAGTAATATTAATGATATTGTTTAAGGGTGAAGGTGAAGGAGATGATGATGCTTTTAGTATTGAAATCGTGAATGTCTGCTCGTATATTTTTACTTTTTATATGGTCACTTCACATTTGTTATTATTGTTTTCAATTCAGAATATTAATACTTAACAATTTAAAAGAAGTTGTATATTTGTAAAATTATTTATAAATAGTTTAAGGTACAAGGGTTTCTCACTTTGTATATAAAGTTGTTTAAGGTAGAAGAATTACTTTTCCAAATCCAACAAATCAACTGCAAACATCTACATAGGTAATCCATATCAAAATTTCAAAAGTATTAATTACAATATCTTGTTTAATAAAAAGTAATAGGACATGTTTTTTGGATTAATTCTTTTGAATTTTGATTAATACTTTTGAATTTTTCCTATTACTTTTTATTAAACAAGATATTGTAATTAATAGTTTTAAATTTTGATATGGACTATCTATGTAGATGTTTGTAGTGTATCTATTGGATTTGGAAAGTAATCCTTCTACCTTAAACATTTTTATATACAAAGTGAGAAATCCTTCTACCTTAAATTATTTATAAACAATTTTATAAATATGCAACTTCTTTTAAATTGTAAAGTATTATTATTCTGAATTGAAACAATAATAACAATGTGAAATAACCATATACAAAGTACAAATATACGACTAGACATTCATGATTTCAATACTAAAAGCATCATCATCTCCTTCACCTCCACCCTTAAACAATGTCATTAATATTATTTTTTCATTTAAATGCATTTATATGTATTAGTAACAATATTAATAATAACAAGTTCAAAAAATAGTATTCTTATTTATATTTGTAATAATAGTAATAACAATAATAATAATAATAATAATAATAATAATAATAACGGTTATGTTTGTAGAAAAATCCTAATAATTTTGTTTACAGAAAAATCCTAATATTTTTTGTTTACAGAAAAGTCCCAATATTTTGGGTTAGTTTACGAAATAGTCACAAATTAATTTGTTACCGGTTTCAACCGGTCAAAATGGGTCAAACTGCAAATTTTTGCCGGTTTTCAAGACTTTTTCGTTCAAAAAGAATCTTGGGGCTAAATTGTAACTTTTCTGTAAATATTGAGATTTTTCTGAAGATTTCCCTTAACAATTATATGGATTGTAGACGTAAATTTAACTGCTGATATATATATATATATATATATATATATATATATATATATATATATATATATATATATATATATATATATATATATATATATATATATATATATATGAAATAGTTCAATAAAGAACCATTATGAATGGTTCTCTAAGAAACCAAATATTTTATCAAGTTTTCGAACTTATTCTTTATCAAATATATATATATATATATATATATATATATATATATATATATATATATATATATATATATATAAAGTCGTAAATTCACATTGTGAATGGTAATATATTTTTCGGATACATCATGTGAATTAAGATTCACATTGTGAATCTGTACAAATTCACATTGTGAATTTGACAAAAAAGAAGTAAAGTTTTTTTATCGAATTTGATATCATTGGAAAAATGATAAAAGGTTATGAATTTCTGTATTTTAAATTATTTTTATTGATAAAAAATAAACTATAAAAGTTGAGAAAAGATTGGTTCTTATGTTGCATGGTTAATAATGGTTCCACGGTTAATAATGGTTCTTGAGAGTGCAGATGCACAAGCAGCCTTTCGGCCGCCACAGGCCCCGCACATGCCACGACCACCGAACACGCCATCGACGCCGCATGGCTCCACCTCTAGAGGTGTTACGGGCGGTCATGACTCGAATGCGAGTGATTTTCAGGACTCTTCGTTGCCCTTCATGAGCCGAAAAGGGAAAAAGTTAGTGTTTTCATATTTTAAAACTTTATTTTTTGATGTTAAAATTCTACTTATATAGTTCTTTTCAATGTAGGTTTGGGTATAGGAAAATCCATAACATATGTATTAGTCTCTATTGGATCATCCGTGGCCCCGGTTCAGTGATATTCCCTATGAGGCTCTTCTGCAGATGTTTTCACGTTTCAAGGCAATATATTAAACATTAAATATTGTATCTTATACTCATTTGTTTTTAGTTTGTATTTTTAAACTTACTTTTTATTTTTTTTATAGACCATGTACATGTGACATTCACTAGAGAATAGTAACATATTTGATGCCTTCAAGTGTGTCCTCAAGGATAGATACAAGGATCGGGTGAAAGGTACCAGGATTAAATCTGGGGACATGACACGAAATTATGGGAAACCCGTCCCCCCAAGTCATTGTACCTACTTCGAGGGGATGCATAACTACCGCCCTGAGCGCGTACCAGAGAATGTGTGGCTACGTTTGTGTGATGTAATGGATACGATACATTATTATCTATTTTGTTGAGTTTTAATTTCCTATTGTATTAGTATACTTATATTTTTTTCTTTTCACAATACTGGTCCACAAATAAGTGGAGAAAGAATTCAAAAATTGCTCAACATAACTGCAAAGTCGCAGATGCTAATGGGTCGACAGCAAGGCATACCGCGGGTAGTATAGGATTTGACGAGCACCGTAACAACTTAGTAAGTATCATAGTTATAAATTTTATTATATATATTTTTTAACACTAACTACATCAATTATACTTTGTATTTTATGTAGGACAAGATGATGGGTAAACCACCCACACAATTTGATGTTTTCATGAAGACGCATGGCACAACTGAGTTGAAAAAAATATATTTTGCGGGAGATCATAAAAATCTTGAATATTGCTCACAAATTGCCAAAGAAGGAGAAGTAACTTATCTTTTATTATTTATGTATATTGATTGTCTTAGTATTTTTGTACATGACAATGATACTGTTTTGATAATTTGTAGGAGGCGTATCTACAGGAGTTGGTCAAAAAATACGGAGAAGACCCTTCAAACCATAAAGATGTTGCAGGTGTATGGGAGGAAACCCAACTTAGGAGAAAAGGAAAGAAGAAGGGTGATATCTATGGCATAGGAGCATCAGATATACATTTTGTGGTTTCTAGGACACCATCTTCTCAATCCACCCTATCCACCCAATCAGATAGTACACAACAAGAGGTATGTTGTTATGGTTTAAAAGTTAAGTAATATGTTGATAATATTGATTAAATTGATGATAAACAAAAGTACATTGCTATTAAGGTTAAAAGTTTGGTAGTTTGTTGGTAATACTGATTAAATTGATAATAAACAAAAGTACGTTGCTATTATGGTTAAAAGTTAGGTAGTTTGTTGATAATATTGATTAAGTTGATAATAAACAAAAGTACGTTGCTATTATGGTTAAAATTTAGATAGTTTGTTGATAATATTTATTAAATTGATAATAAACAAAAGTATGTTGCTATTATGGTTAAAAGTTAGGTAGTTTGTTGATAATATTGATTAAATTGATAATAAACAAAAGTACGTTGCTATTATGGTTTAAAGTTAGGTAGTTTGTTGATAATATTAATTAAGTTGATAATAAACAAAAGTATGTTGTTATTATTGTTAAAAAGTTAAGTATATTGCTATAAGTATTATAAACAAAAATGCATTGTTATAATAAACTAAAATACATTGCTAATATTGTTTAACTATTGAATTGTGTTGCCTTTTTTTAGGTTGATAGGTTGCGCGCACAAGTTTCTACAATGGAACAACAACAACAACAAATGCAAGCACAGATGGAAATGGTTATGAGGATGATAAATATGTTTGGAAATCAACCTCGTCTCCCCCCCCCCCCCCCCCCCCGCGCGATAATCCTGAGGACAATTGAATTTGTAAACATTTGGTAGTGTTAGTTTTGTTGATTAGTGCTTACTATTGTCAAACTTAGTATTAGTTAGTTAAACAATGGAATGGAATGTGTCAAACTTAGTATTAGGGACGAATGTAGATTGAATGTGGTATTGACAAAAAAATGGAATAGATTAGTGCTTACTTTTTTATATGGTATTTGTGACAAATGTGAATTGAATGTGGTATTTGACAAAAAATTGGAAAATTTTCAATTAATTTTTTTAAAATAAAACGAAGTTATCTACGGAATAGTTACGGAGTTTCGTAGCTATTAAGATCCATAGCTATTCTGTAGCTGTTTGGATTCTTAGCTATTCCGTAGCTATTTAGTTCCGTAGCTATTTGAATCCGTAGCTATTCTGTAGCTATTCAGGTCCGTAGTTATTTAGCTTTGTAGCGACTCCGTAGCTATTTTTTTCCGTAACTATTTCGTAGCCAATATAGCTATGGAATTTTCCGTAGCGGTTCCGTAGCTAATTCGTAGCTATAAAATAGACACGGGCCATTATACCAACAATTTTTCTGTAACAATTTCGTAGCTATCCGCTTATAGCTACCGATTGTGCTGTAGCTATTTATCTAATTTTCTAGTAGTGATATATATATATATATATATATATATATATATATATATATATATATATATATATATATATCTGTGTGTGTGTGTGTATATATATATATATATACACACACACACTAGCCGTTTACCTGCGCAAAGCGGCGGAGCGACAAATAGTTTGTTTCGACAATTAATTTCTTTTCGATGGAGAATAATTATTTTCAATTCAATCATTAGTTTGTTTTAGGAAACATGTCATATTAAAAATAAAGAAAATTCATGAAATAACCAAATTATAGGATGTTGAGTATTTATTTGGATGAAAAAAGATCTGGTCAAAACCTTGGAAGAAATTTTTTTTAGGAGTTTGTTTAATTTTTAATATTATTTTATTAGTGATTAGTTGTACAATTAGCTTAATGATTTGGACGTCTTAAATAAATATTATTATTTTATTCAATCTATTGTTAGAAATAGTGAGATTTGTTTTATAAGATAGTATATATATATATATATATATATATATATATATATATATATATATATATATATATATATATATATATATATATATATATATATATGGTCCGGTTCGGTGATGATCTTTTTTTTCGGTGAGGATTCGTGATGACACCTTAAAAAATTCAAAAAGAAAAAAATCATAAAATTGAGCATAGTGTTGTATTGGAGAGAAACAAAATTCGAATTTATTTTTGGATCATTAAATTTGAATTATGGATAATAAAAAATAAATCATGGATCATAAAATAATCCATGATTCAATTTTAATGATCAATTTTTTTGTTCAATATAGTACTATGCTCAATTTTATGATTTATATTTTTTAAATTTTTTTTAAGGTGTTCTCACCGAAAAAAGTCAACACATGATATAGTTACAACATTTTAAAACACTAATTGTTATGTATGGATAAAAATTATTGTGCACAGATCAACTATATGATAAATTGAAAGATTGTATTCGGTATTACGTATTACAAATAAATCGTTATTTGGAATTTGCATAGTAGCAATTTGGTATTGTGATCTTGATGCAATTCATTGATTTTTTTTTTTTGAGAAAAAAAATGAAAAACTTTGAAAAAAAAAAACAATTTTAGAGTGAACTCGGTACAAAATTTTATGTTATTTTGCATAAGAAAAAAATATCAAAATAATAATTATTAAAAAAAACACTTCAACGGCTATTATTAATTTATTATACTCTTATTTTACTTTACGTATTTGATCAGTAATCCATTAATAACAATAGCAAATTATTTATTCATAAATTTAAATATTATTTATTTGACAAAAAATATTATATTTATTAAAATGTCACACATCCTTGAAATTTTTGTATCTGGCTTGGAAATTAGCTTTGAAAACATGTGAGTCTAGACACAAAAGTATATTTATTTTATTTTTTCCACTTTATTTAATTTCTTTCGGTGGGACTTGTAATAAATACACAAGATTTTTCTTCGAAACTTAAAGAAATATTTGAAAAAAAAGCGTACTTTGTAGTTTGTCCCCCTTTACTAAAAACTCAATGAAAATATACTATCATATAGATAATAATTGTTCAATTATTAGAATTTAATTTGTATAATTTCTTTACAAATTTCTTACAGTTCCACATTTAAATGGCAAGTCTATTCATTTCATTGATAAAGTTTATTCGTATTACTCTGGTTGAAGTTTTGCTGGAAAAAAGCAATAATATATACAATTTTCATACTAATTATGGTTTTGTTAACTTTCTTAGAATATTGAGAAAGGGAAGTTCTGTGCTTTTAAATATTCATTTGAATTTAATGTTCTCATATGAAAATTCATGTTCCAATATTTCGGCTAACAACTTGTCTTTTTTTATGTAAAAAATAGAATAAATAAATTATATAGGTAGCAGGTGGACTACCTCACGCATTCCTTTATTTTACATTTATTTCAACAAGTATTTTAATTTGACTCATAAACAGAATCACGATCCATTTCTCTAATTTTATTATTATAGCAACAATTTCTGTAATATTGTATTATTTCTATAACTTTATTTTATATAGGGACTGTAACTATAATTTTATTTTATATATGGACTAATTTTATAACTTCGTTATTATATATGGATTTTTTTATTACTATTTATGTAATTTTCTCAAATATAGACCATTACTTAATTTTACAAGAGATTATTTTTATAAATTTACAAGGACTATTTCTATAATTTTCTTAAGCATAATAACATTAAATAAAAATAATTTTTATATAAAGACTATTTTTATAATTTTATCAAACATAAAAACTAGTAGATAGTTTTAACTTATTCAAGCGTAAGGAAGTTTACACAATTTTGTGGGGTTCATAAAAACTATTTTTTTAGTTTGTTCAAAAATTAGGACTAGGAGATAATTTTACAGAGACCATTTCTATAAGTTTCTTAAAAATAAATACTAATTATCAACTTTAAAAAATACAATAGGACAAAATTACATAACTTCCTAAATTTCCCTATAAATGTATGTATTTGATAATTATAAAGTTAAAATGCTAATAAATCTATATTATTAAAAAAAATCATGTTATTATAATTACTTGTAAAATAATAATTTTAATATCATTACAATATTTTCTAACTCATTTTTGTTTTTTAATATCAAAATAAAGTAAAATGTTATGTAAATTTAATTTCTTTAATGTTATTTTTTTTTATTAAAAGAATATTTTTATGATATTTTTTTAAAACTTATATAGATCACTAAAAACATATGTTTTATTGTTTTTAACAAAGCTATATATTATATTTTTTTATACAATAAATTTTAGAAAATTATGTTATCAAAAAGTAATAACAAAAACATGTTATATATTAGTTTTGTTAAATTTTATTAACATATTTTTTAAATTTCATAAAAAAAGATTAAAATCTGTTTTGATGATTAATTGATATCATTTAATTTAGCATATAATAAAATATTATGAATATTAGTTATTTCATTTGAAATTTAATTTAGAATGGAATGTATAAATTGTAACATCCAAATTTTCGATATATATATATATATATATATATATATATATATATATATATATATATATATATATATATTAAAAATCTGGTTGGCCACGACATGGTGAAGGTATCACCACAACGTGGTAATTTGGTTTGGAATCGCACAATTTAAATAAGTGCTACAATGTGGCACTATTTTGGCCACGACGTGGCAACTATTTTGGATCAAACCCTAATTTTTGGGTTTTAAGTCATATTTAATGGAAATGATGTTTAGGGCTTCCTCCACCCCAGTCTCCATCACCTTCAAATGACCCTTTGTTCAAACCCTAGCTCTTTTGAAGCTCTTGTGCTCATTTTGCAAGTTCTTGGTGGGTTTTAAGGAAGAAAAAGAAGATTTGGTTCTTTGATTCAATAATAAAACCTTTTCCTTACTTGTATGCATCTTCTGGATCTCTTTGTAAGTCCTCAAGTTTCCATATTTTGATGCTTTTCTCTTTAATCTAGGTTTTAAGTCATAGTTGGTCCCTTTGATGTGGTTGTGTGGTTTGAAGAGATTTTTTTTACAACTTTACGGTTTCTCTATATGCCAAGAACATTATATCTCATAGATCTAGGAAATGATGGTGATTTGAGAACCTTGCATGAAATCTAGGTCATGTTGCATCTTTTGACCTAGATTTGATAAAGGACATGCATGGGGCATGAATGTCCATAAAGTTTTCAT